TTTTGAATGGTAAACAAATAATAAAACAAAAAGTTACACTGGAAATAAGTTTTAGGGGTTGCGTTTTCCACCCCTTACAACCATGGGGTAAATTAAATAAATTTCTGGCTAAGTGTCTTTTTGGCAGAACAAATCGTCAGATTAATTTCAATGATGTAACTCCTTTAGTTCTTGTGAAAAAAATTGTTATACAAATTTTATGTACCCGCTTTAAGGGGCTGTATCTTAACAAGGGATGCTTCAATGACATTTCTTTATAAGAAGGATCCTATCCTTTCTTCTATGAGGAATCACCTCCTTAAATGTTTTACACTTATTCAGTTACACCTTGTATATCAACTCCATACATATTTTGAATATTTGCAAGTAAAAGTGAACGCTAATGCCTTCCAGGGGTTTTGTATAAATATGGAAGAACTGTTCAAAAGCCAATTTTTGGAGAACATATGTTTGTTTCTGATATTTTCTAGCAAATGAGAATGTTGCAGAAAACATTTATGAGGGTACTAACATAAACTGATTTGTTTGAAATGACCCATAAATTACCAGCATATGTATATTTGTCAAATTCACTGTCAAGTACGTAAATAATCATTCGATTCGTTTCAATTTGTGAGGGGAAAACCATGAATCTTTTCTAATTAGTAGAAAGTTGATGATGAAATCTGATGAACGAAATGTCGCATTGCAAATTGCGTCATATCAGATTATAACAAATATGAAACAGTACTGAAGGTTCCTCTGCCGTTTTTTTTATTATTCAAAATGGAGGCGGTAGAGCCAACAAACGAAATTCGACAATTCTAGATTTTGGCAATTATTTCAAAATAGGAAACTTTGTAGGTCTTACTTTTTCCGAGATAGGAATAGTAGGATCAGTTGAAAATAACGGCCTGTATACAGGGTGTTTCAAATTCGGTCCTCACCATTGGTATCTCGGAAACTATGTGAGAGAGATACGATGATGGTTAAATTGGAGATAAGTTGCGCATTTACCTGACTAACAATATGCCAATGAGGAAGTTCTGAAATTTCAAGTATATCCGGAGATATTCGGAAAAAAACAGAAATTTCGGAAAATGGTTTTTATTTCTTCTGGCTTTATTTTTCGAAGGATTCGAAAATAAATTGCACTTCCACATTGCCACTTTTTTCTTGCTACATAATGGTGTTTTCAGATTTGCTATCCGACGTTTCGCCTTCCAACCACCTTCCACTTTATTTTTTCTTATGGGCGCTATATCGGATTCTTTCTGTTTTGAATAGAATCAGATTTTACCTTTTCAATGATGTATCGTTGAATTTCAAGTACCTGATTTTTTACCTAAGTTTGTAATGAATTTAATTACCTGTGCTTATGTTCCATTTTCCACATTTGAAAAAATATTCAGTAAATTACCTGAATTCCTGAATTTATTGATTTCTAAACTTCTAGAAGATTGAGTTTCATCGCTTCAGGCTTTGCATTGTATTGTGCATATTTTGAACATTTGAACGACTTTGTTTTAATAAAGCTTTTCAATTTGTTAAATGATTTCAAACAAACGATGAATGTATCGATTTCGAATAATCATCAAAAATGTGTGCATTATTCTTATAATAAGCTGTCTATGGTAATTTATTATGTGGATTTACTAACTGGTTGCAAAGAAAACCTTCTCATCGAAACATATATTATGCAGAACTGAGTGTTAGTATGAGCTTAACCTTTCAGTAGTCGCGCGCGGACTCCTAGTCCGCACCTACTTTTATTCGACGATAATTTTGATTATCCCCTCTTAATAGGCATCGCGCTTCTCGGTACCTTCCGGCGAGATCCCGTGGCAGTTTATGGTTGAGTAGTTGAGTGGACAGGTTGTCGTTTTTTCTGAAAATTTTGGATCGCGGACTGACAGTCCGCAGCGACTAGTTACGTACTTAAAATTATTAGAGCTTATATACTAAAGGTACGTTAGTTTCGGTATTTTTAGGTTTATCGGTATTATATATTATATATTTATTCATAGAATGGGGTCGTATGAAAAAGAGCAAGAGCGTTTAAACCGTTTAATGCAAGAATGTTTGGAGTCATCTGATGAAGAGGAACCACCTTTTGACCAATGCGAAGATGGGGAAGAAGATGCTGTAGAATTACAAGTGCATGAAACAGATAGTGAGCAGGACATTTCGGACGACGATGAAAATATTTTGCCAGAACATGTTGGCCCATTTTTCCTCGGTANAATAGTATATGAATTTGTTGACAAAGTGATAATGAATCATAATATGATATTATATACGGGGTGTTCCATTTGAAAAATCAAAGAAGCCGCTACTTTATAGTAGAAGCGACAACGCCGCTTCGTCTGGAATATTTTAGGCGTGTAGGTGATATTGATTTATGCATACTGTGACATTTTTAGGCTGGTCCGTTTAATAGTTTGTCAGAAACGGCTAATTAACGCTCATCATGAAAAGCCCTGTATACATGACATAGATAGGAGAAGGAACTTTCGACAACTTGAAAAAAAAGTATGTTACTCGAAAAATGTTATCAACATGTTATCAACAACTAAACATGTTTTATATAACATAATAACATATGTTCATTGCTATGAAATATAGAGTGTATTTCCAACACTAGTACTTACAACTATTATCCAGTCCAGTTGTTATTGCTGTAGATATGATGTATAGGTACTTACATAAGCAGGACCTGATCCGCTTAAAGCAGTCACAGGATCCAAGAGTCCTTCGGGTACTTCTTCACAGGTTCCAACAGAATCCAACAGATTTTTTGTTATTTCAACATCTGCCTCTGTGGCATTCTTACCAGTAACGAAAACAGATGCTGCATTTCTAATCAGTGCTGCTGTATTTGGCATGGCTCTCACCACTCGAGAATCACTAGGAAGCATCTGTATCGAAGAAAATAATGAATTGATTTAATAAAATTATTATATTACTAGTTGCATAAATTTTAATACACAATTGAAATCAAACTGTGAACGACCGTTCAATATCTACTCGATTGGATATGTCGGATTCGAAAAAATGAACATGAATGTGGCCTTTAGAACTACCGGTATATCGAAGTAAACAATATTGTGCACTCTTAAAGTTGGCGGCACTCTCAAAGGCCTAAAAAACCAATACAAAGAAATGAAGCGGCAGCGAACTAGTCCACGTGGACTGTAGGCTTGGCGGTTCGCATTGGATAATTTTTACCAACCGCGTTTTATGATTGGCCTAAGAGAGAGACAAGAACAACGGCAAATGTTCTATTTGGACGAAACTTGGTATGATATTCACAACAGAGTTACGACAGGGTGAACTGATGGTTCGAGAATATGTACGCCTAACATGTCTGCAAACAAAGGATCGCGACTAATCATTGTGCAGTTCGAANAGGCGGTAGAGCCAACAAACGAAATTCGACAATTCTATCTCTAAGCTAGCTTGGCTAAATGCATTGTTGGTGTAGTGCCCTACAATTTCCTTCAAATGGAGTATGCTAGGTGTTGCTAGGAGATGTGTTTGTTTAGATGATTTTGTTTAGAAAAATGAAATAAAGAATTAATAAAAACATCAATCAAAAACGTTTTTTAAAAGTAGTTTAAAAACTACATTGGACAACATAACAACATATATGTGGCTTCTTCGAATTTTCTCATGAACCAAGGTTCCTCCTTTTAGATGATTCCTGATTTGCTGGTTTCTCCCCGCTGTGTGTGTTTCTTGTGCTCGGCAATGCGAACATTCAATGGCCTCTTAGTTTCACCAATATAGCAATTCTTGGAGTCGCGACCCGCGTTTGGTGGCCTGGTTTTCGTGAGGCTGCTACGGATAGTGTTCCCAGATCTTAAACAGGTTCTGATTTTATACTTGGACCCAATCCATCTTATCCTTTCCGACAACCCTCTGATGTAGGGAAGTACAAGTACTAGTTCTGGCGGCTACTTTTCCTTGTGGAGCTCTTGCTGTCTTCTAGGTTAAACCTGTTCTTCCATCACTTTAGAGTAACCATTTCGTTAAAGGTCATTTTTGATGATGCCTAGTTCCTTTTCGAGACCATCCTTTGTATTACAGAGCCCGAAAGCACGGTCTAGTAGAGTCTTGATGATTCTTCTCTTAGTTGATTGATGGTGGTTGGATTCCTGCTTCAGATACTGCTACATATACAGATGTTTCCCATTTAGTGTTGGTCCTCTTCACCAATACGTCTAAGAATGGCAATTCGTTGTAGACTTCCTTCTCTATTGTGAAAGTGATGGAAGAACTTACGTTGTTGATGTGCTTCAGAAAGGTGTCTAGTTCTGCATTTCCATGGTTCCATATTATGAAGGTGTCGTCTTCTCAAATACTCTCAAAGTCGAATAGGTGAGAGGTCATCTCTGTACTGTTATTGTTTAGAAGACAATGTACCCTAACGTATTACCTGTTCCAGATAATCCGTTGGGAAGGTTAGTTAAAATTAATAAAGACAAAACATATATATTCGAGAAATCAGGAGTATATAAATTAAATTGTGGAACTTGTCCTAAGGTATATATTGGTCAAACTGGCAGAATATTTGAGAATCGCATCCAAGAACATCATATGAGCTATGTTAATGAAAAAACAAGTTCAATATTTCCGAATCATCTTTCAGAAGAAAATCATATCTTTAACGGAAATTTTGAAATTTTACACATTGAAAATAAAGGTTTGAAGCTTAATTATTTGCAAGCAATGGAAATTGATAAACTTTTTTTCTTGGAAACTGTAATTGTATTATTGTTGTAGACTTGATATAATATGCTTAAGGTAATTATAATTTGAGGATGTATCGTAGATTTTGAACAGAACAGACAGATGCTTTAGGTAATTTTGATCGAAGAGGTACCTAAGTAGGTATCTCTGACTTATAATTGAGTGGAGGATATAAAAACCAGGGTAAATAATGGAATTAACTTGTAGTATTGTCATTCACTACGAAAGAGCTACTCTGATAGCGAAACATTTCGTGATATATTTTTTGAAAATTAAGTTTGTGAAGATCAGATCGTAAGGTGTAGTTTATGAAATTAGGAGACAAGTTCTGGCAATTAACAACTTTCAGAAATCAAGAATTATCGCATTTAAAACTGTAAGTGGACAGTTGCACTTTTTGGAGTACTTATAACGAAGGTTTTTATTACTGTCTCTTGAGAATAATTTTATATCCACGATTTAGTATCATTCCATTACCAAAGCTATGGAACTCCTCTAACCTTCAGAACATACTTTTTCTTACCAGATTTTTCTAAGAAATGTAACCCTGCAGCTGTCGTTCCAGAGGGAGAGGTGACATTATCTTTGAGTACTGCTGGGTGCATTCCAGAGTCTCGAACCATCTGACCAGCTCCAAGAACTGTTTGGGAAGCCAGTCTGTACGCTAGATCTCTTGGCAAACCCATCTTGACTCCACCATCAGCCAAGGCTTCTATGAGTATGAAAACCTGAGGAAAATTCAACAAAATGTTTGATTCAGGTGAATTGATGATGTCAATTGACACCTTTTCATGAATGTTCATTACATATATTATTGGTGGTTTTTAAATTCGAAGATAAGTATCTTATCTTTCCATATATCTGTCATCCAGCAGAGGCCGATCCCATAGATTGTGTCTTTTAAGTGCAGTTGGCATAATTTTGTAGTTATTGAATTTTTGAAGCTGTTGCCCGCTGCTTCGCCCGCGTAGAATTTGGTTTGTCACATTAAGTTTCGTGACAGACCATTTTAAACAAATACTTACAATATTTTTTTCATTAACCTAAAACTTCAGGTTTCAAACTTCAAATCTTCAATCTTTGAACCCCTCTTTTTCCCTTTGGGATTCCTGGTTCCCTTTCTTGGTGCTTATTTACGCTATACAAAGAACCTACCTGCATATTTCAACGTACGGCTGTACGTTAATATAACGTACGTATAATATAACGTATAACGTACGTTAATATAACGTACAGCGGGGAACAGCCTGTTCCCCGCTGTTTCACCCACGTTACCGTTGAAACCAATATGTTCATCCATCCTCACAAACTTGAGCATTTATGATATCAGTAGGAGTAGGATTAGTAGGATTAACAATGTTTTTCATTGAAATCTTTCAGTTTTTTTGCTGATGCCATTCAATATTGTATAAGCGGGTACCTATTGTTTGACTGACACTCATATATTAGCGTACAGCCGATGCTATCGAACCTAGAATTTCGAAATACGCAGGTAGGTTCTTTGTATAGTGTAAATAAGTATCAAAAAAAGGGAATCAGGAATTTCCAGCCTCAAGGGGAAAATAGGGGTTCAAAGATTGTATTGAATTAATTTCATTTCTTCTTATGGGCGCTATATTGTATTCTTTCTGTTTTGAATAGAACCAGATTTTACCTTTTCAATGATGCATCGAAAAATTGAAGATATTGAAAAAAAAATAATTCTTTTCTTGATAGGCTTTGACTTTGATGTTTCTAAATTTGACTTTCAATTTGTTACACTCAATGAATTTTGTTATTTTATAAGTCATGGAATTTTTGGCGAAAGTAGCTTTCACGCATGAAGAAAAAAGAGATATGATACGAATTCCGAAGGACATCGGAAATGTATTTAAACTTGTATCCCGAAAGACGACAACTACATCGAACTATGTTCAAGTTATTGGATCAAAATATCACCGAGTTTGGTTCGTTTGAAACGCCAGTGAAAAGATACGGAGACAGAATCAACAATCAAAATTTAATAAATGAGGTGTGAATGAGGTAAATTGGACATTGTGCCCTTTTCAATGAAAATAAAACTTTGACCAGACAAAATGTAGAGACAAAAGTAAATCACAGCAAATGTTCAAAATGATGGCCTTGTTCATGATAACACATTCGTGCCCTTCTTCGAATGTTATTCACTGCACGAATAATTTCCCTCCTCAGTGTACCCCATAAGAATGTATCCATGACACTTAAGTCTGGAGACCTTGCTGGCCACCTCACCCATCTGGTAGTGTACGGTGGAGCACCAACATGTTGAAATCATATGTTGTTATAGTTGGCCAAAGGTAGATCATCCAAATAGTCTTCGACATTGAAAACTGGTGATAGGTTTCTCCATTCAGAATTCCGTCGAATGAATGAGGAACCATAATTCTATCTTTGAAAATTTCTTTCCACACGTTAATACCATGTCGCACTTGAGTCGAATTTCTCGAAACTGTGGTTGTTTATGGTCCAAATGTGTTCGTTATTTCGGTTGAATATCCCACAATTAACGTATTCTAAAGACACTTTATTGTGTGATTTTCACTAGATAGTTTTACAAAAACGCAACACGTGTTTCGCCATACAATGGCTTCCTCGGGCGTGTCTTAATAACTAATTATACACATTTAATGTTATAAATACCTTATTCTACAATTTGGGGTACCTGAATTTCAAGTAGATACCTGAATTTCAAGTACCTGATTTTTTACCTAAGTTTGTAATGAATTTAATTATCTGAGCTTATGTTCCGTTTTCCACAGTTGAAAAAATATTCCGTAACGAAGAGTTATTCAATTCTAATTGATCATTCAGTAAATTACCCGAATTCCTGAATCAATTGATTTCTGATCATTCTAGAAGATTGAGTTTCAAACTCTTCTCCTCTAAATATTACACATCTTATTCCTGATTGAACTCATGTCCTTCTGCTAATAGGTGGTTTGCAAATGTGGAATTGGTCCTTCTATTTGTGAAACTGCTTCTATGCTCTTTAATTCTTTGGGAAAATGTTCTTCCAGTTTGGCCAATATACAGTTTTGGACAAGAGTCACAAGTCAGCTTATATACTCCTGATCTATCCAACAACGAAGTTTTGTCTTTATTGTTTTTAATAAATTTACTTAGATCATTATTCGTTCTGTAGGCCACGTTTACGCCTTCTTTCTTCAAAAAAACGGGCGATATTCCTGGTTGGTTCACCCAAATATGCCAATGTCCTATAATTTACGTTATCGCATCTTGAATATGGGTAGACCAAGTCCATGTCTTGCTTTTGAAGTTTTTTCGTAAGAATAGCGTTTATAATATTTACTTTGTACCCGTTATTAACCGCGATTTGTTTGATCAAATTCAGCTCTTTCTGGAACTCCCTATCAGATAGTGGACTATTCAATAATCTGTGAAGCATACTATTGAATGCAGCAACTTTATGTTGGTAAGGGTGTGTAGAGGAATTATGAATGATAATGCCTGTGTACGATGGTTTGTGAAAAATTGCAACTTCATGTTTATTGTTATTTTTCGTAATGGTTGAGTCAAGGTGATTTATTGAATTATTCACCTCCCTCTAAGCTGACTTGTGGCTCTTGTCCAAAACTGTATATTGGAAGAACATTTTCCCAAAGCATTAAAGAAGTTTCAACAATATTATTATTGACATCGAAGGTGAAATTAGAAGGTATTCCATGTTTTGTGTGAAACTCAATTATTACTGTCTTACTTTGATTCATTATTAGTGTATTCTGCATACAGTAATCCGCAAAATCTTTCAAAACTGAGTCAGTTTTCTGCTGTAGTCTTTGGCGATAAGTGTCAGACATTCGGAGAAGTTGTTCGTATAATATATCGGTCTAGGCCCCAAAAATAAGTTAAGCTTTCATATTGTGTAGCAGAAGGGGATGAAATCCATTGCACTAGCGAAAGATTAGATTACAATTATCATCAATTCTACATTAATTATTTGGAATATGTTCCACAAATAAGCACTTCTTTACCGCAATTACCCAGAATTTTAGCTCTGTAACGCCAGCAACGCAAATTACGGAAATCGCATTTAGAAAATGCCAAAATTAGGTACTTTTTAGGTGCTTTTTAGGTACCGAAGTCATAAATTAGGTGCTCTGTAACTTATGCTCTATAAATTATGTGATGCTTGCAAGGCAATGAAAATAATAATAGAATAATGAATGTTAAGGGAACACTATTAGGTGCTAATCAAATGCTAAACGGTGAGGATCGTAAAATTTTCTAATTAATAAACAAAAGCTTCCAATTTCGCTAAACAACAGATCTAAGAATAAGGTCTCTTGAAAACGAGGACGAATGCTCTATCAGGTATAAACTAAGCGTGGAAATAAAGTGCTATTTAGGTGCTTGCAAGAAATTAAGATGAAAATGACTGCGAATAAGCGAAAAAAAAATTCGAGATACCTGATTTGAGGAAAAAATTTAACAATATGCAATAAACTCTTGAGATACTCGTAAACTAATACATAGACAATCAAAATGAAGTGCTAATTAGGTGCCCACTAGATAAATAATAGTAAACCTAGATTCCACAAGGCCTATGGGGCATTATGGAAAACCACTATGACTGATGTACTGAGTTCTTACAGTACGTTCCGACCCGATAACCACCATTAAAAAAATGTTTAAAATATTTTCATCCGTTAACCAGCTATCGCACCCCTACGAACGATAACCCCCAGGCTACCGACCGACGGTCGGACGTGGTCGGACCCCCAGGCTACCGACCGACGGTCGGACGTGGGTGCTTTGTTCACTCAGTCAATCGGCCGATGTGTGAGTCGATGGTTCAAGCCCCAGGCTGAACGCCTAATTTTCACCTGCTATCGTCCAACCCATGTTAGGAATCACACGTTGAAAGGTAAGACCTCGTTAGTTCTTAGCTCGCACAAGTTTCGATTTCTGAGGGTTATAGTTCGTAGGGGTGTGATAGCTGGTTAACGGAGAAAACATATTTTAAACAATTTTTTCAATGGTGGTTATTGGGTTCAAGGTGGTTATCGGGTCCTTAAGCCCTATATGAAATATGGAATCTAGATTTACTACAAATATGAGCACCTAATTAGCACTTTAATTTCTTGTCCTTACTCATTTAACAACGTTCTGATTCTTAGATCTGTTGTTTAGCGATATTGGAATCTTTTGTTTATTAATTAGAACATTTTTCGATCCTCACCGTTTAGCACTTGATCAGCACCTAATAGTGTTTCCTCGACATTCATTATTTCATTATTATGTTCATTGCGTTGCTGTTTAAAAAAATCTGTTTAAAATCTGTTTTTTCCGTTAACCAGCTGTCGCACCCCTACGAACGACAACCCTCAGAAGTCGAAACTTGTGCTAGCTAAGGATTAACGAGGTCTTACCTTTTAACGTTATGCTAGCATAACATATTGCTAGCAACGCAACTTTGAGTATTGAGTTGCAATGTAAGTTACAGAGCAGCTAATTTTTGACTTCGGTACCTAAAAAGCACCCAAAAAGTACCTAATTTTGGCATTTTCTAAATGCGTTTTACGTACTTCGCGTTGCTGGGGTACCAGAGCTCAGAATTTCTGACAGCGTTTACTTGAAAAATAAATTATTGTTGGTTTTGAACCAACACAGTTGCTAAGTGTGTCATTTTCTAATTGGAAACTATAAGTCATAAACTGCGACCATACGATTTCCAATCCAATGGTGAGTCAGAGGAGGATGAAGAAATCACAGAGGGCCCCTGACGATAAATTTTTTAACTATTCTCTTCTGTTATCATATATCAGAAAGTTTTTTTGTGTTTTTCCTAAAACAACATGAACGGAACGGGGTCACCTGAAGCATCATAAAGTACATCATTGAAATTATGAAACAGAGAAATATACTTCATCAAAACGCTAAA